TAGAGTCACCCGATTAACGATTGCGACACGAAGATGCTAATTACACGGACGAGTGGATTTAAAATACAAGGGGCGTATTTCATAGCGCGCTTCCATGTGCTGGTTAACTGATTTAAGTCTGATATTGAAATATTGAAATTCGAAAATTGTAAAAGATACAGTAGAAAATACAGATAGAGATTTAAATATGAAACTACATGCAAACACGCAATTTTAGATAAACACACCCTTCAAAATGAATGGACTTATCGACCACCAGCATCAGCGTGTTATCATTTGTATAATTAGGCTTCGTGTTATAAAAATGGACGATGTGTATAAAATTCGCCGCAATGTTGTGGTCATGGCAAAATGGAATGTTAGGTCTTTGAAGATAGAAACAAAATTAACAACAACAGTAGATCTACAGTACAGTTGAACTCAGTTCAGTATACAGTAGACTGCAATAAAGGTAAGTGGAAGCTTTTTGCAAAATTTGTTGGATGTACCACGTTTTTATGTAATATAAACTATGTACTAAGATCTGCGAAAAGTAAGGAAAAGGCTTTGAGGTAGTTCTGGCTTCCAAAACTTTATAAGCCGCTTTTTAACATTTTTGTTTTTCATCAGATGCGGCATTAAAGTTCACGTCATGTCATATATATAAACGGGTACGCTGAAGACCTTAAGCTAGCTTTGAGGTTAAAGAATTGAAACAGATATAGGATACAGGATAAGACATTAAAAATAATAGAATTTAAACCTTGAGGTAATAAGAAAAATAAAGAGACTTATTAGTGCCAATTTAATTATACAGTAGATTTTTCTTCAAAAAAAGGGAGATTTTAGATTTTTCTATAAACAAAGAAGAAAGTTCTGACATTATATTAATCAAAGCACTGAAGGCGCTGGATTTGTTTGGGTCTCAGAATGTCAGAAAGGTGAAGGTTGTGAGATTATAAGCCAATTTGCTTTTGTACAGTGCCACCAATGCTTTCCAGTGTTTTAGGCAATAGAAAATAAATAACTAGATTCTCATCCAAATCTTGGGAAAAAATGGGGCGGGTGGGTGGATTTTAATTTTTATTTTTTATTTTCCATTCTCGGTCTGGATTTACACACAAGGTCAATATTTGGGAAATTGTTCTATATAATAGGTTCTAATATTATGTGTATGTAAGATATATAGATTCAGATTGAGAATAGAAGCAACATGATAACATGATAATATATCTTGATTGTAATGATCTAGCTGTTTTATTGAACCTTTCATATTATTTACATGTTTGGACAAAATAAAAAAAACAACAATATATAGATCTACATGTATTGTTACAAAATAAGACATATTAATTTTATAAAGGAGTTGAATAAAGATGTACTATGCCTATGCTGATCAATAGTACTTTTACGTAAGTAAATTAATTAATCAACCAATGAAGCTACACAAAAAGACAATCCTATTTATATATTACATTGCAAAAATAACATCTAAGCTATTGAAAAATTGGCAAAGAAAGTACAGAGATTTACCTATTATATTAAAAAGCAATCTTATTTTCACTTTCATACCATGACTAGATATTATAAAGATTACATACAAAATCAAGCAGCACGCTGACCATGAAGATTCTATGCAAAAATTCATTTTTAAGGCCATAAGGATCGGCACCCTTTTGTTTATATTTGGTTCAGATGATTATTTCAGGCCGTGACATTTTAAGTATTATATGATAACAACCTGGGTAAATGTCAAAATGATGGCTTTTCTTAGTGTGGCTTTCAATGAAGAAACAAAACAAAATGCGGCCGATAGAAATAATCAGGGTCCTCACTAGGATTTTCAAAATCCTGAGACTCCCAATTTTGCTGTTTCTTCTTGATAAAATCCATCATGGAGCTTGTATAATATATCTGTGATTCCACACACCCCCCTCCCTTAAGCAAATATTCATTGTACAACACATACTGGCAAATTTCTCATTCTAAACTAATGTAAACAATACCGTTAGTACTTTTAATTAATAAACTATATTTAAAGTGTTATTGGACATATTTTAACAAAACGAAGCGTCCTTTTGGTGACTTTAATTATAAAAATCGGCATCGCGAAAATATATGACAAATTAAAAAATGTCTGTATCCTGCATAACCATTCACAATTCTAGTTGTTGTTGGTTTTGATTTTATCAAATTAAATATTTAATGATTATTCATTCGCTAGTTTAAAAGGCATTGTAAAAACTAAATCCAAATTTGTAATTTACGGCAAAATTTACCGATGCTGTTTATGAACTGCTGTTTATTTGAATATTTGACTTGTCCAAAATTAGTCTTTTGTGGTTCAAACTTCAATATAGTTAAAGTTCTTTAACACATTTCATTTTAACTATCAAAACAGGTTATTTTTAGCTCTTAGAAATTTTATTTGGACCCGAGGATTTTTCACGGCAAGAAATTTCATCTCGGCCCGCATGATCCGATCTTTATACAGCCAGGACCGAGACTGACGGATTTTCGGCCGCACAGATGATGAGATAAGATGACACTTATATATACTTAATTCTTTTTCTTTCTTTCTTTTTTTTTTTTTTTTTTTTTTTTTTTTTTTGAAAATAAAAATCGTTCGGCGGAGCAATTTTTGCTGGGCGGGCGGGGATGAGAATCTGGGAATTTATTTTCTATTGCCTTAACTGTAGTAAATATTGGCTATATGACTAATTGCAACACTGATAGTCAATTCAATGTTTATTTGACTTAAACAATTAAAAAAAAAATGAGTTGCCTCAACTGGGATTTGAACTCCAGACCTCTCGATTCATAAGCGAGCGTGCAAACTCCTCGGCCACGGTGAAGTTATATTTTAACGGCCTGAAGAAAACCATATTATTCTAAATAAGGGTTTGTAGTTCTTATTATTTCGACGCTAAAACCTGTTGTTTAACACCGATGTAAATAATCATGGAGCTTACTGTAAGCATGTATATCTATAAAGAATGAAACAATATTAGAAATCTTCGACCATTCGGGAACTACTTTGCTTGAAAATTAATGCGCCTGTCTGTGTCATTTGACAATCTTTATGCATTGATCTCCCCTGAATTTTTCGGCGTTAGTGTACATATAAAGGGAAGTAACCGCTTCAAAAAAGTGGACTACTTTAGGCATTTGCAATGATTTCAGGACTTTACACATCCAGGAGGTGTAAAGTCCAAACCTTTGCAATTAACAACATTAGGCTCTGAAATTTCGCTACCATTATTTGTTTGGTCTGACGACCCAAACAAATAAAAAAAAGAGGGAGATTTCTTAATTTGTGAAAATACCCCTTATTTTAAGAAAAATCTTTGAAAGTAAGGCAGCAGAAAGTGGGAGTCTCCCGCTTAAAGTGGGAGAGTTCACATGTATGTCTTTAAGTACAGCATTTTTCAAATAGGCCTAACAAAAAGATGCAATGATAAAACTTAGATATCTTAATTGACATTTTCACAAAGAATGAAAATTAATATATATATTTTTTCTAAATAATTTTACGGATGATATTCGTTCATTTATATTATGACAAGATATCGGATAGATCTTTCAGGTCTTAAAGTAAATACACAAGTTTACACAGAAAATATCTCTATAATGGGAGATGCCACTACGACTGCTTTAATTTTATTGAATTTCATTATAAACAATTTATTTTTTGATAAAATTGCAATAGTTACATTACAGGATTATTGATAATTTTCAAACACATCAATTTTTTTTACCTTTAAACAGTAAAATAATGATAGAAAACTAGAAATATCATGTAGATCTAGTAATTATGTTATGTAGTTTCATTTGGTGTAATTCCCCAGAGCTAAATCGGTAACCTACCGGAAAATGGTGTTTACCGTAGCTGCTAGGTTTTCGAATAGGTCAATATATTTTACAGCGGAATAAAGGCTGTATCTCCTAGCCCAAAATAAGTATATTTTCCCCTAAAAATGCAATTATATACATCAAATATTATCAATTATGCATGGACTTTTTTCATCATTAAAATACTTATTGATTAAGTCTTTATAGGAAAAAAAATAGTTTGATATAAATCATCTTTACTGACACAATAAGACTATGTTAATCAAATGATGTGAGGCAGATGAAATAAAAATTTAATATTACAATGAAACAGAAAATGATCGATTTAATAATCAGGCATCAAAAATGTGTCACTTATAAAATGGCAATGTGGCGATACAGAAGAATTCGAAACAACCTTGGCTTTATTTCATTGTTGTAAACATTTTTGCAGAAAAAGAAACATATTTATATATCTTACAATAACGTCAGTTAAAACGATTGCAACAATGTCGGATATAGATTATTTCATTGAGACTTGATATGTTTACTTAAAAGAATTACAGTTTTTGTGTAGCTTGAAAAAGGCGACATATAGAGGTTACCATTATTGTCGGCATCGACGTCCGCGTTCCCTAAAGTTTGTCCAGAGCATAAGTCAGTCAGGACTCAAAACTTGGTATGCATGCTTCTTATAATGACCCGAAGTGCGGTGCACAAGAACCGATACTCTGCATTTCTTATTTTTTGAGTTATTGCCCTTTGTTAACTTTCATATTTTATTTTTGTCCGAGGCATTTCTCCTTAACTATAAAAATTATGGATATGAAACTTCATAGGATGATAGGTATCATTGAGATGAAGTGCACTGCACAAAACAGGTACTCTGTACTTCATGATTTCTTAGTTATTACCCTTTATTAATTTTCATACTTTATTTTTTCCGGGCCATTTCTCATAAATTATAAAAGCTATGGACTTGAAACTTCATAGGATGATAGATCTCATTGAGAAGAAGTGCAGTGCACAAGAACTTGTACTCTGCACTTCATAATTTTTGAATTATTACTTTTTGTTAATTTTCTTACTTTATAGGCTAAAATTCCAGTGCATAACTTGGTCACTTTAATTTTGATTGACTCTAAATTTGGTATGTTAGCTTTTTTTATTGTTAAGAATCCATCACAGAGTACTCCATTTGATCTGTCAATTTAAAAATTTTGCATGGTATTCTTATTTTTCATAATATAACAGTTTTATTAACCCTGATGTAACATTGTTACAATCAGTTCAAATGTCACCAAAGTTAAAGGTACATGCATGTCCATAATGTAGGAGCAGTTTTTGCAGAAGAAAATGCCTAAGTGACAGCTATATTGTTCACAAGGCAACACATCCGACCTCCGAGTTCTAGTTTATAATCAGTGCCATTAGGTAAATTTTTTGTTGGCACGTACATGTTATATTCCTTTTCTCAGAACAGGGTTTCCGTTAAGGGAAGTTTTGGGAGTCATTTACTCCTTGATTTTGGATTGTGACTTCCAAAACCTATTACTTTTTCTTCTTTACCAATATAATGTAACTTCCAATATCAGAGATTTTGCAGTCTCTTAACTTCCAAATTTTGAAACTTAATGAAATCCCTGTCAGAAGGGAGATAATTCAATGTGTACATATGCAATCGCACAGTAACCTGTAAAATTAAGACAGTATTAACATGTCAGTTAAAGTGTCTTGGGGTAGTCCAGGGGTGTATTGGGGTACTCTTGGGGTGTCTTTGGGTAACTAGGCCATGCTATGTACCATGAATGTTAAATTGAATTGAAATTTCTATAAAATGTGTAGGTAAATTCCATTCTCAGTTGTTGGAATTTGATTTCAGATGTCTGCCTTTTCTGATTTACTGTAAAAAAAAAACAAACAGCTGCGCTGCAACACCATAAAGACATATTATCTATAGAAATGATTTAATAATAATGTTTCCGTTTATTTCTCTTCGTATTTTCGCACAGACTTTAATCATTAAAATTTGTGATTTTCAGGGTAAAAAACAAAAACAACTTTGGCTCATCAAACGCCAAAAATTTATTTACCTAATAAAGTTATGATATTCAATAATATTTTTGTTTAGAAAAACAAGCTTGCAAATATTCATTATAATAATTGTTTATTTATTTTAAAAATGCTGTAAGACTTAAGATTCAACAGTGCATTTAGGCTAGTCATACGTGACTGACTTATGGCTAGAACTTTTTGCTAGTAATATGGGCCCATACGGCTGGCCATTGCTATTGATTGATTTAAATCATATCATGGTACTGAGTAAGCGTGAATGATTTGACCCATTTAACTGACTGCTTTGATTTGAATCATATCATGGTACTGAGTAAGCGTGAATGATTATAAATTGACCCATTTAACTGACTGCTTTTTCTTTCTGACAAACCGTTACACAGAAAATGTACTGGCACAACTGTTGCTAATATGAATTAATCAATTTAAACTGTTTATTAGTCGGAAAATATCATGTAGTTCTTAAAAAATCATTAGAATAATTATTTTGTTACTTTTTATAATAATCTCAATCAAAAAAGTATTCAATGATAGCTATAGAGTGAATGCATAGATCTCCCAGTGATTTATTTTAAATTTGAATTGTAAACCATTTCTTTATACTTCATGTCCTAAAGATTGATAAAATATTTAGCTTGTAAAGTACAATACATCCTTTAGTTTAAGTTTTTTTGTTGCTGTAACAAGTTATATTTTATTTTTAGATAGTTCTGGCATGCATGGAAGAGATGTCCTTGAGTCACAATATTTTCGATGATGAAGGTTCAGTTATATATGCAAAAAAGGAGCAAAGTTGAGCTTTTTTGTGTGTTAAGAACCACATTTCTAGGATAGGTGAAGTAAGTTTGGTAAGAACAATTAATTTTACAATGATTATGAATTGCTTGTTGTTAACAGAGCCCTAATTACCCTATAGGGTACTGGGGCAAGGGATCTCAGGCCAGGGTTCGAACTTAAGCTTGCATACTGGCAAAATGCCAGTTAAAATCTAAGACTGCCACATTGTGCAAGCAAACATTAATTTACTCTGGCATTTATTTGCAAGTAATTGCTCATTTTGGACATTTACATAACTCAAGATCTTCTGCACAAGCTTAGAAATGCCTGCTGCAATAACTGATGATGTTTACTGTGCCAGATGCAGTTTGTTTGTTTTTTTTTGTGGGGGGGGGTATTTGAAGGACTTGCTTTATCCAGCATAATTTTTCTTAATAAAAGGAGACCAAACTAATTCAATATTAAATCTACATGAATATTATATATCACATGACTGTCCAAAATAACAGTTAACATTTAAAAAGAGTCATATTAATATGAACATGCTTTAATGCTATGTATGTAACACAAATGATGTCATGTTCAAACTTTAACTTGTCACACTTGATGTTGTATGATATCACTTCATTAAATAGTTTTTGTACACTGCTGCATTATGGATTATGTGATAGAATAAATTCTGTTTGTTTTATCATTTCTTGAAATACTGCCTATTTTAACAATTCAATTATTCCCTCTAGTCAAGCAGCTGAAGAAACCTCATTTTTTAAGAAGTTTGCCAATAAACATATTCTTTGTTAATTTACCTCTGCTATTTATTTGTAATGCAGGTGCCAGGGTCCAGTATGAAATTGAAGACGGAGTGACCAACATTCCCTTCTGGAAGAAATAGTTTATTGATTGACCATTATCTTTAATATTGGAAGATGATATATAGGGTGCTCATACATTCCTTTTTGATCAACAACAATTTAAGTGTGCATGTTTGTGAAGCATCCATAACCTGAAGCAATTGTTTCATAGATGCTAAAATCTAGTATATAGTTTTTGAATTTTCACCCTTTTAGACACAGTATAAGTACATACACTAAAATTCACTGTTAAACTGTCATAAAACTTAAGTAGTATATTATACTAGTTAGTTTTCTGTTAATGATAAGCCAACATAACTATTGATCTGATTGTTTGCAATGTTCATTTGTACATTTCTTAGGCTCTGAGAATTTTTTAGCCAACATTACATTTTTTCATTGAATGAAATTTGGTTTATTTTGCTGTAACAATGAGCCGGCATAACAATTAAGAAAGCTGATTGTTTTTAGATTAATGTCATTACTGAGGTATTAAAATTGTTGAGGTCAGACAAACTATTTTGATTTCTTAGTCACATGATGTTGAGTGGGCATAACAATTATACTAAGTTTTGAAAATTTATTAATATTTATTATTATATACATATGCACATATTTTTTGGTGTAAAACAGTAAAAGACGTTTTATCTTATTGTAATATTATAACGATTCTTTTACGCGCCAAATGTGGCATCTATTAACCTTGAACCGGCATAACAATTTGACTGTTGGGTTATTGTTGAACTCTAAGAAGTGTGAGAAATTGTTAAGCCAGCATAACATCTTTCTTCTTTAACATTTTATCTGTCAGTGTGATTTTTTCATTTGAAATATTTCTTGGATATGAGAAGTAACATTTTTCTTCATTAAATTAAATAAATTTCAATTTATCTGATAGTTTGAAATTTTGTTTTGTTTTTCTACTTCGATTTGAGAAAAAGTTTAGCCAGTGTGCCATTGTTCATCATCTAATAAAAAATGAATTTCAATTTTGTAAAGCCGGCTTAATAATTATGCCCCCACTTGAAAGAAGAGGGGGTATATTGCTTTGCATTTGTCTGTCGGTCAGTCCATAGACCAATTGGTTTTCGAGTGATAACTAAAGAACCCTTAGGCCTAGGAACTTCAAACTTTTTTTAATGATTGATTATTCATGACCATTAGATGACCCCTATTTATTTTGGGGTCAAGGGGTCAAAGGTCACATTGACCTTGTATGTAAAAACGGTTACCGATCAATAACTAAAGAACACTTAGGCCTAGGAACTTCAAACTTGGTATGATGATTGGTCATGACCAGTAGATGACCCCTATTGATTTTGGGGTCAAGGGGATAAAGGTCAAGGTCAAGATTAACCTAGTATGTCAAAACGGTTTTCTATCAATAACTTGACAAGCCCATATCTGCTGGCCCTCAAACTTTGTAGGTGCATTGGTCTTGGCCAGTGGATGACCCCTATTGATTTTGGGGTCAGGGGGTCAGTGTCATAGTGACATTGTACTTAAAGATGGTTTCTGACCAATAACTCAACAACTCAAGTTGCCTTGGTTGATATCTTTATATTAAACTAAAGATGCATTTTGTATAGACATTTGAAGGTCTTATGTAATATAACAACTTGGCTGTCATTAATGAGGCCTACATGATTCATAAAAATTATGCATACCGTATAAGTACTTATTTCTGCGGGCTTAAAATTCTGCGATTTTGGTTAAAATAAGGGTTTTTAAATTTCTGCGTATCTTATTTCTGCGGTGTCATCATTCTCGCATTAATGTTTTTTATTTCTGCGTTTTAATTTAGATATTTTTACAAAATTAACCGATACAAACAGACAACATTTCAAGATATGTTGATGTAACATGTGCATTACTTACGATAAACATGCAGACGACTTATAATGTGTGCATCGTGATCACCATGTATCGGTATATAAAATATGATAAACAAGATCAACAAGGAAAGGCGGCGTTCAATGAACGCAATAAACAAAACGTAAATAAAAAAAATCAACAACGTGCAATGACAACAATTAATTGTAATACTGCATGTGTATAAATATGAAGTGTGAAAAATAAACAATGGTAATATCGCACGTTGACACAATATATTGTACAAATACAAAAGGGTATGTTTATTGCACCCGTCAAACTATAATAGTTTTATTTTAAAAATAAATCAAGCTTAGGGTGAGCGAAAATCATACAAACATGATATTTTGTTTAACAAAAAGAACAAGTCAAGTTACTTTTTTCTCATATTTTATTCATGACGGATACATAAAGAAAAATTATTCCCATCTACAAAAGCTGATAACGGTACATGGCAATGTAATTATACCATACAGGTAGTTGACATATTCCGACATACATGTAGACATAGCGAAAGGCTTAATTTTCTGCGGTTTTTAAATCTGCGGTGTCTTTATAAACCGCAGAGATAGCAGAAATAAAGTTCCCGCAGAAAAAAGTACTTATACGGTATATTATTTGATAAGATTTGTAATAAATTTGTCATAAAATTGCTGCACACAACATATGCGGTGACAATGATTATAACCTAGTGACTAGTCATGACCAGTAGATAACCCTTATTGATTTTTTGTTCACTAGGTCAACAGTCAGTCATAATAACCTGATCACATGACTAATTGGCTGCCGATAGGGGGCATACATGTTTTACAAACATATCTTGTTTATCTAGAGTTTAAAATTTTCAGAATTTCGGAAATATTCTTGGATATGAGAAACTGTTAAGCTGGTGCAACATTTTCGTTCAATGATTGAAAATGAATTTAAACTGTTTAGCTGGCATAACAATGTATTTGATAGTTAAAATTGTGTGCTGTAATTCTACTTTGTTGAGCTGGCATAACAAATAATCAGTTAGAAATTTTCATTTGAAATATACTTGGATATAAGAATTTATCTGTTAATCTGAAAGTCTTTGCTTATTTCTACTTAAATTGAGAAATTGTTAAGCTGGCATAACATTTTTCTTCATCTTATGAAAATAAATTTCACGTTTGTTAAGCTTGCATAACAATTTAACTGATAGTTTGAAATTTTGTGTTGAATTCTGCATTGTTTTGAATTGTTAAGCAGGCGTAACATTTTTATTGATTTAATGAAATTGAATTTTAATTGTGGTAATTGAGCCAGCATAACAGTTTTATCTGTTAATTTGAAAGTTTTTGCTATATTTCTACTTAAATTCAGCAATTGTTTAGCCGGCATAACATTTTCTTCATCGTATGAAAATAAATTACACATTTGGTAAGCTGGCATAACAATTTAAGTAATAGTTTGAAATTTTGTATTGAATTCTGCTTAGATTTGAGAAATTGTTAAGCTGGCGGAACATTTTTCTTCATGGAATGTAAGTGAATTTCAAATTTGTTAAGCCAGCATAACAATTTTCTTGTTCTTATCAAAAATGAATTTTAATTTTGTTAAGCTTGCAGAACAATTTATTAGTTAATTTGAAATCTGCTATATTTCTACTTAAATTGAGAAACTGTTTAGCCGGCATAACATTTTTCTTCATCTTATGAATATGAATTTCAAGTTTGTAAAGCTGGTATAACAATTTATTTGATAGTTTGAAATTTTCTTTGTCAAATACTTGGATATGAGAAATTGTTAAGCCGGCGTAACATTTCTCTTCACATAATGTAAGTGAATTTCAAATTTGTTAAGCCGGCATAACAATTGACAGATAGTTTGAAATTTTCTTTGTCAAATACTTGGATATGAGAAATTGTTAAGCCGGCGTAACATTTCTCTTCACGTAATGTAAGTGAATTTCAAATTTGTTAAGCCGGCATAACAATTAAACTGATAGTTTGAAACTTTTTTTGTCAAATACTTGGATATGAGAAATTGTTAAGCCGGCGTAACATTTCTCTTCACATAATGTAAGTGAATTTCAAATTTGTTAAGCCGGCATAACAATTGATCTGATAGTTTAAAATTTCCTTAGTCAAATAGTTGGATATGAGAAATTGTTAAGCCGGCATAACATTTTTCTTCACGTAATGAAAATTAATTTTAATTTTGTTAAGCTGGCGTAACAATTGAACTGAAGGTTTCAAATTTTCTTCGTCAAATACCTGTAAATGACAAATTGTTAAGCCGGCGTAACATTTTTCTTCATGTAATGAAAATGAATTTTAATTTTGTTAAGCTGGCCTAACAATTTATTTGATAGTTTGAAATTTTCTTTGTCAAATACTTGGATATGAGAATTCGTTAAGCCGGCATAACATTTTTCCTTCATGTAATGAAAATGAATTTTAATTTTGTTAAGCCGGCATAACAATTTTCTTGATCTTCTTAGTCAAATACTTGTATATGAGAAATTGTTAAGCCGGCATAACATTTCTCTTCATGTAATGTAAGTGAATTTCCACTTGGATTTGAATATTTGTTAAGCTGGCGTAACATTTTCCTTCATCTAATGAAAATGATTTTTTGATTTTGTTAAGCTGGCGTAACAATTTAACTTACAGTTTGAAATTTTGTGCTGTAATTCCACTTGGATTTGAGAATTTGTTAAGCTGGCGTAACATTTTTCTTCATCTAATGAAAATGATTTTTTGATTTTGTTAAGCTGGCGTAACAAATTAACTTACAGTTTGAAATTTTGTGCTGTAATACAACTTGGATTTGAGAATTTGTTAAGCCGGCGTAACATTTTTCTTCATCTAATGAAAATGATTTTTTTTTTTGTTAAGCCGGCGTAACAAATTAACTTACAGTTTGAAATTTTGTGCTGTAATTCCACTTGGATTTGAGAATTTGTTAAGCCGGCGTAACATTTTTCTTCATCTAATGAAAATGATTTTTTTATTTTGTTAAGCCGGCGTAACAAATTAACTTTGAAATTTTGTGCTGTAATTCCACTTGGATTTGAGAATTTGTTAAGCCGGCGTAACATTTTTCTTCATCTAATGGAAATTATTTATCTTACAATTAAAATTATTTTCCATTTTGTTAAGCCGGCATAACAATTTGTCTCACGGTTTGAAATTTTCTTTGTAATATTTATTTGATTTGAGAATTTGTTAAGCCGGCGTAACATTTTTCTTCATCTAATGAAAATATTTTTTTGATTTTGTTAAGCTGGCGTAACAATTTAACTTACAGGCTGTAATTCCA